TTTTTGCAGGTACATGATAGAGGCATGCTGTCCCCAAATAGCCCAAGTTCTTAAATGAACATCAAAACCGATACAATGGGTCAGAGTTGGGCATCAAAAAATATAAAATTCCATGTCTCTAAAGGCCTTATGCTTCTTTTGCCAGGCCTGTCAATCTGTTTTGCAGTTATTCATATGAGAAAAAAAATGCACAGTGCTATTAAAAATTAATCTAGCTTCCATGCACTGTAAGTGAAAGAAATGAGGGAGGAGAAGCCAGACAGTCGATATGTGAACAAGGAAATAGTAATATAATGATGAAGATGGATGACAAACGGCATGCTGGTTAGAAGAGCCATTGTGAAAACATGATCAACAACACAATGTGACGATGTGATTTACTGGATTCACCTAAACAACAGGAGATACATGTGTTGCTTGATGTGTATTAGTGTGTATTTTTAAGGATGCATAGTTTTTGAATAGTATGAATAATTTTTTATAGATGTTGAAATAGGAACAATGCTGGAATGACTAATAGAGATATTGAGTATTTCACAAGTAGAATGCTAGAAATAGCTGAGCATGAGATGCCAGTTGATGAGAACATCTTCCAAATCATTTTGGCAAGAAATAAGGGAAGGCTTGGGTCCTATAAATACATGGTGTCCATGAGCCCACATTGCAAAATGTCTGTGTGTTTTGCTTAGTTTTTTTCTTTACTAAGGTGAATTTCACCAAGCAGATAGTTATTTGTTTTAAAGTGAGAAGTCAGTAGTGTTTAGTGGGCTCACAGTGAGGTGTCACCATCGTTGCCTGATTCCAAAGCATTCTAATCAACCAGAACAAAACCCCATAGCCACAAGGCAGTCATTCTCCATTTCCCTTCCTCTAACTCCTGAGCTTCACCAATCTCTTTTTGTCCCTATGGATTTATCTTTTCTGCATCATTTATGCAAATGGAATGATATAATTTTCTCCAAGAATGTTTTAGAATTGTACCCACACTGTATTATGTATCCATAACTTAAACCTTTTATGGCTGAATATTTATTCATTTCTGAATGTTACTTCTTGTTTTGTATGAATAATAATGTGAAATTTTCCTTAAATGATTTTATTTGTATTTCTCCTGTATCTACCAAGTACTTACTGGCTCTAAATAAACCATGCTCGCCTTTTCCTTCAGTGTTCTTGCCTATGCTAATTCAATTACCTAAGCTACATTCCTGTTGCACCCCCAAGTTACTTGGCTAATCAGATTGTTATGTTATCCCTCCCAACCTATTCGACCAACTAGATGTGAAGCCCTCAGACAAAAGGCCAATAACAGCATTTCTGCCATGTCAGAGTTATTTCATGTGATTGAAAACTTTTTAAGGCAAAATCATGCAATGTATTTCTATATCACCCTATGAGGGATCCAAACATTTGTTACTATGGCTAAATATAATTTACATATTTTACAGCAAATTAGAACCCAATTCTCATTTATATAATGATTACCGACATAGTCTATTGATTTATTTCTAGGGCCAGGAAGATGGGCAGGATAGATAGTAGTATTCCTGCATTATTATTGTTAATTTTTCAGACTTAAATTCTTACTCAAAGATTCACTTTCTGATAGTAATTGCCAGGGCTAAGGTTGAAACCCGAGCTTGCACTTGTACGGTGGGCATGAATTTCTCTTTTAAAACTGGATTTACTTTGAAGCCTTTGGCTTAAATGCTACAAACTCAATTAAACTGAGATCTGGGGGACTTGGCTAGGGAAAAGATGTTCATGATGGAAGTGGAAAATTACTGCTTGCTCTCGGTTTCATAGGACCATAAAACAGCTTCAGGGATTTCCATTATTTTATTGATGGACTCCTTAAATTGCTTTTTACTCATCTCTCTCCCTATTCACAAAAATCCCTAAAGATCCCATGGTGTGGTTTCATATCTTCTTCCCTCTTGGGACAGTGTGACCTTTTCATGCCCGCACCATGCTGAAGGATGAGTATAACTTACTAGTCCCTCATTGCTTCTCATGCTGATATGATACTATACCATTTTAATGTTTAGCAGTCTTGAACTGAAAGTGACCTCAAGAGTTGGGGAAGGGATTTCGTTCAGTAGCTCATAGACCTGTCTTGAGGTTGTGCTGTAACTCACACGTCCTTAGTTCCTACTAACAAGGCTCCCACCAAAATTTATTTCACTATTGCTCTCTTGAATCACCCCACCTCCTCAGTCTCAAGGGTCGATTACTAAATATAAGCATGGATGACCAGCAATAACGGTTGACAATAGAAAGTTACTCATCTCTAGGGTATATTCTATTCAATAAATTTAAAGCATTAGCTATTTCAGAATTCTAAGAGGCCAAGTATTTGAAACCAAAAATATGAAAGATAGATACTGCCTTCTGTACTTATATTGAGGAATGCTTTTTCAGGTGCAAAGAAACAAAATTTCTCTAAATGGCATGGATTAGGAAAGGAGAGTATCATATTTACACTAATGGTATTTAGAAAGTGAAAACTATCATCAGTCATAGTAGTGGGCATCCAGACTGAGCTGAGGTTGAGCATTGTGTTCCTACTTCCCCTGTGTTAAAAATCAAATGTCTCTCTACACATGTGAACATTTCTCTCTCTTCTGTGTTGATAGGGATGGCTAGCATTGTATGCTTGGCATAATCTAGAAAATGCAAGGTAACACACTTCTGGGCGTATTTGTAAGAAAGATTCCGAAATGAGTTAACTAAGGTAAGATGACCTCCCTGGTTATGGATGGTACCACTCTGGGTGGAACATCAGACTGAGTGAAGAAGCAGCAGCAAACTGATCATCAACACTGATATCTCTCCAAATGTGGATGCGCTGGTGCAAGCTTCCTAGTGTTTATACTGTAGAATTCCCTGCCATGATGGAATATGAGCCAGAAATAACCCTTCTTAAGTTGCTTTGAAAACACATGCACACACACATACAGAGAGACAGAGAGAGAGAGAGAGAGAGAGAGAGAGAGAGAGAGAGAGAGAGAGATTCAAAACAGACAGACCTATCAGTTTCTCTTATTTTTTAATTAAATTTAATTATTGTGTTGCTTAGTTGGAGCATGATGTAACTTCCAGGGATCAAATTCAAGTTGCCATACTTGAGGGCAAGTGCCTAGCCAATATCTATTCTTCTAATTTGTGAATATTGAATACATGTCCATTTTAAAGTCCTTCACTTTATTCATCAGTTTTAAATTATTTTAATCTGGCAGATCCAAACTTAAGTGTTTTACACTGGATTATATTCATTAATATCATGCAATTAATTTTTGATCATTTAAATAAATAGACCAATTCCTCACTCCTAAAGGTCTTACAGAGCATGACTCAGCCAGTATTTATTTAAATATTTTAACTTTCTACCAACAAAAGGCATATCCTAATGATTTTGTTGGTGGATCTACCACAGTCTTAAGAATGAAATTGCATTATCTGGCTCTGGTTGCTCTGGCCTTGCAAAGCAGCAGTTTCAGAATCTGCAGTGGGAGAATTTAAAACCATGGTGAGCCTGGACAATCTAATTAGGCTCTGCTTCAAAATAAAGTGCCAGTAGGAGAGTGAGCATTACCTCAATGTAGTGTGTGCTTAGCAAGAGCCCGTCCTTGGTTTTAGTCCCCATAACACGAACTCATCAAGTAGAGACAGAAATTATGCCTCTTATCTACAATCTCTTCCAGAAAGTAGAAGTAGGCTTACATATGCCAAAAATAGTGCTGCAATACAAGATATGCTAATATGTTATATACTATAATATTTGCCATTTTCTAAATATGCATGAGTGAAAATGTACATATACCCATAGAGTTCAAGATAAATTTGTATTTTTATGGAATTTATGACAACTGCCTTTTTATTAACCTCTATCTTTATTCCTATACGTAATACAAAGTTTAAGAGGTTTTGTTTCTATGTTAGACATCTTCCTATCTGTGAGTAAAACTGTGTACTGAGCAATAAGCAAAGTGTGAGACAGTAGATTACTTTAAAGACAAAGAAATGTGAACTTTTCTACCAAGGGAATGACTGGTAAACACTGCACTCTTTTCTTCACGCTGATGTTACTTAACTGGGAGTTTCAGCACTAACTGAGTCGAGTTACCAATCTCAGTGGCATATTAGTTCATGACTGTTGTTGAGATATCGTGCCTGGAGAAAGCACATTAGCTCATGACAGTTGCTGAGATGACATGCCTGGAGAAAGCCCTCTTAACGGATGACGCTGACTCACGGTTTAAAGGATGAGGTCAATACGCTTTTAGGTTCAGTTTGCCAGTATTTTATAGAGAATTTTTGTATCGATGTTCATAAGAAAAAAAGGTCTGTAATCCTATTTGTTGAATCTTTGCATGGTTTGGGTAACAAGGTGACTGCAGCCTCATAAAATGAATTTGGCAACGTTCCTTCTGTTTCTATTGTGTGGAATAATTTGAGGAGTATTGATACGAGATCTTTGCAAGTTTGGTAGAATTCTGTGCTAAAATCAAATTGCCCCTGGGATTTTCTTGGGAGATTTTTAAAAACTCCTATTTCCTGATGGATTATAGATCTATTTGAATTGTTTATCCAATCTTGATTTAACTTTGGCACATGGTATCTATTAACACCTTTTAGATGTTCCAATTTTGTGAAGTAAGGTGGGTTTTTTTTATTATTGTTGTTTTGTTTTGTTTTTTTCTTTTGGATTTTATATCTTCCTTCCTTCCTTCATTTATTTATTTATTTCTCTTTTGAGTCCAGTTTCTCTTGTATTCCTGGCTGTCTTGAAACTTACTCTGTAGACCAGGCTGGCCTGGAACTCACAGACACAACTGTCTCTGCCTCCAGAGTGCTGGAATTAAAAGTGTGTGTCAGTGTACTCCAAACAGGGTAGAAGTCATGTGGACAGAAGCTTGAGATGGTTATATCTCATCGTGAGGAAGGGAACAGAAATTCACGATTATGCTCAACTGGTTCCCTTTCTCCTCTCCATACAGTCCAAGAATTACCCCAAGGGAATGCTGTGGTACTCCTTCTAAAGTAAGCATTCCAACAGCAATGAGAGTGGAAGACAGGGGATGTATTCATTAGTGAACCGGTAGTCTCAGCAACAGTGGTAAGTATTCCTACCTCGTTAATCAATCTAATCAAGAAACTTTCTCTCGAAGATGCCCAAAAGCTTATCTCCTCAATGATTCTAGTTCCTTTCAACTTGGTAAATAATCTTAACCACAAGAACTGGTTTGTTTTAAAGGCATCAATAAAGGAAACAGCACTCAAATTATGTATGAACAATCATATAAAATATATGTCATAATTGATACAAACAGCAAGGATTTTTTTTAACAGAGTGAGTTAATATAGGAAGCCACTTTATCAGCATGATGCAAATTTCAATTGTGCCTATTAAAGTTGGAAAATTAACAAAATTATGTGCATTTGATGAGGCATATTAAATATTTTAAAACTATTTCTGCTAAGTTTTTCCTGATCACTTACTAATGACTATAGTTTTCTTTAAGTATCCCGTGCACATTGTGTAAAATATAATAAAGTGAAGCAAAATTCTTATGCAGATCCTGGCATTCCGTCTCACAAAAAGGCATTCACACACTTTCATATACATATACGCCTTGCTATACACTGACACCCACGCACAAATTTGTGGCTACCACTAGACATACACACACATATTCACTCCTCAAGGACACACACACACACACACACACACACTCATTTCCACGCATATGCACTCACACACGCACACATACATCCTACATGAAGATATTCATAAACACTCATTGGTTGCTACACAGACACTCACATACACACATTTATTACCACTTGGACACACCCATATACATGCACATTCCTTACACACATGCTCACTTTCACACACATTCATTTCTATACATGGACGTTCACACATGCATATACATTTAAAGTTTATCAAAGCTAAGAGCTGGATTATATGAGTAAATACAAAGCCACAAAGGCAGTTCATTTCTTTAAGAAACTAGCATTTTCACTTTTAAATTACTTGTTTTATGTAATCTGAAAGTATATTCAACATAGTTCTTATTTATGTCTTATATTTTTATAAAGTGTAACTACATCTTAGTGAACCAAATATTAAGTAATCAGATAAGAATAGTAGTTAGAAAGAGTTAGAAAATAATGAATATGAGAAAGCAGAAAATAAAATTCTATTCATTAATCTTTTCCTATCAATATGCAATTCTTAATTTTATTATACCCACATTAAATAAGTTGATCTATAAAGGCACTTACAAATTAATCTAATTATATTTAATAGTATTTCCTATATTAAACTAAGGTAATGATACAATGATAATATTTAAATTGTTACATTTGGGCTATGAATATATAAAATATCTTTTGAAAAAAGATTATAATATTATTATCATGATCATTTTATAATGCATTAATGTCAAGAAAGAACTATTCAAATTAAATATGCACATAAATATGTTAATCTACTGTTTTTTATCGTAATTATAGCTTAATACAGACACACAAGAACTTCCACAATGACTGCTCACACACAATAAAACTGTACAAGATGTGTGTCTTCCTTCCTTACCCAGGCTTCCCATTAGATCATGATGATCATGATGTGCACCTTTTTTGACTGGCAAAATAAAGTTTTAAATTGACTTCATAAAAATTCCTCCTAGAGCTATAATTAGTACTAAAACGAACTTAAAATCATGGCCACTTATCAGTATAAAAAAAAAACGTAAAAGCAACATTATTGCTTATGTCGTTGCTATTATAACAACAGAATTTAATCTTGTGTCTTAAAACCTGCATGGTCAATTTAAGCATTTTTTAGCATCTAAAAGTCTGATAATACTTTTATCCAATAATGTTTTCAAGGTCACTTTGACCTGGCTTGTAGACTAATACGAAATGTTAAATAGAATTAGAACTCTACTCCAAATAAGCTATTTTAAAGTACATTGCTGTAGCCGGGATTTGCTATTTGGGATCATTAGTAGAGAAAATAATTTAAAATTTTTGTCCCATAAAGCAACTCTAATGGATTGACCAGAATTATTCATTTATCTTGAAAACAACATGATGAAAGATAAAGACAAAATCAATTTCAGTGCACTTTGCTTTATATCACGCATGTGCAATTTGATGGCAGTTGGTTATAAGAGATTGCCATATGAAAATTTTAAGGAAAACTTGGAATTTAACTAACATGTACAATTTAACAGCAAACTAACAGCTTGGCAGCTTGTGAAAATTGAAGGTGGGATTGGTTAATTTACTCCGTTAGGTCTACTGAGTTGAAAAAAAAAATCTTTACAATTACAGAGCTCATTTTGTTAGAGAATACTGTTTATACAGAACAAAGAAGAGTTCTTTTGAATAGCAGTGAAGAGGCAGATAGTGATTAAGGCACAAACCGTATTCTGGGCAAAGCGCATCACATATTCTCCTGAGCTCAGGCATTTTGGCTGAACCGAGGGTGGTACAACACAGAGCCTTTCATTCCTTCCTTGAGATAGAGGACTGGAAAGAAATTGTGCTCTAGGTATTGATTTAAGCACAATGGCTAAAATAATTAGCAAAATACGCTGTTCTCCTACATTCCCAAGACTTGTTTTGTCTTGGTTATAATAAAAACAGCAACAAAATATTCAAGATGTTATATATATGTGACCACTGAAGTTTGTCCTTGTAAAATAATTACTTATAATCTTGTCTCCAGTGTACAGCATCTTCACAGAGCTACCCTAGTTAAATTGAGTTCATTCAAGTGAGTACTAACCCATTGTGATTAATTGTTGCGATGTGTGTCCTAATGAAAACATAAAATTTGCGAGTAGAAAGGTACTCAAACATAGAACACCATGTAACAAAACTAGAGCAGACTGCACAAGAAGAAATACCCACAGATAGCATCAACACAGGAAGTTAAGAGAAGGACAGGAAATTGTTTCTCTCCCAGGGAGTTTTTCCAGGGAATTCAACAGCATGAACTTGAAGAGCCCAGGCTTTTGGACTTCTGTCCTCCACACCACGATTTAGCCAACCAGTTTGGAGTACTTTGTTATAGTTCTCCAAACTATATATAGGCCCCCAAGCTAGCATCTGTCATATCCAGTAGAGTTCTAAAGAGCACCACAGGCTATCACAGCTGATGCTGTAATGTTGCAAGTCCACTTAACACTTTCCACAGACAGTTCACATGCGGCCCTACAAAGCAAACCTCAAAAGTTTGTCCTATGTACAGAAGTCAAATCATCAACGCTAAATCAATTACTTATAAGATAATTCACTAAGAAAACTGAAAATTTGCATTGAGATGATTGAAATTTAGAAGCAGTGTATCAAGGTAAATGGGCTGAAAACCAGGCTGAAAAGGTCCCCATATTAAAAGAAAGGAATGTTCTAGTGAATCAAATGAAAACTTCAGCAATGGGGAACTTGCAAAGAAGAGCCAACTGAAATAGAGCAGAAGAAATGAAAACACAGAATTGTTATGTAATTAATGAAAATGTGCAATATCAGAGCATAGAAAAATCAGCAAAACCATGAATTGTTTCTTTGATTACATTAATCAAATTTATAAAAGATCCTTCGAATTACAGAGAGGGGAAAACGAATGAGAGAGGAGAAATTATCAAAATCACTAACTTAAGAAACAGAATGATTTCCAAAGTGGTTGCACAAGATTGCATTCCCACCAGCAATGGATGAGTGTTCCCCTTCCTCCACAGCCTCTCCAGCAAAGGCTATCATTGGAGTTTTTTATTTTAGCCATTCTGATAGGTGTAAGATGATATCTCAAAGTTGTTTTGATTTGCATTTCCCTGATTGCTAAGGAGGTTGAGCATGACCTTAAGTGTCTTTTGGCCATTTGAACTTCCTCTGCTGAGAGTTCTCTGTTCAGTTCAGTGCCCCATTTTTTAATTGGGTTAATTAGCATTTTAAAGTCTAGTTTCCTGAGTTCTCTATATATTTTGGAGATCAGACCTTTGTCTGTTGCGGGGTTGGTGAAGATCTTCTCCCAGTCAGTAGGTTGCCTATTTGTCTTGGTGACAGTGTCCTTTGCTTTACAGAAGCTTCTCAGTTTTAGTAGGTCCCATTTATTCAATGTTGCCCTTAAAGTCTGTGCTGTTGGGGTTACACATAGGAAGCGATCTCCTGTGCCCATCTCCTGTAGGGTACTTCCCACTTTCTCTTCTATCAGGTTCACTGTGTTCTGACTGATAGTGAGGTCTTTAATCCATTTGGACTTGAGTTTTGTGCATGGTGATAGATATGGGTCTATTTTCATTCTTCTACAGGTTGACATCCAGTTATGCCAGCACCATTTGTTAAAAATGCTTTCTTTCTTCCATTGTATACTTTTGGCTCCTTTATCAAAAATGAGTTGTTCATAGGTTTGTGGGTTAAAATTCGGGTCTTCTATACGATTCCATTGGTCAACTTCTCTGTTTTTATGCCAGTACCACACTGTTTTCATCATTGTAGCTCTGTAATAGAGTTTGAAGTCAGGGATGGTAATGCCTCCAGACAATCCTTTATTGTATAGGAAATCGGTGTTTCGGTTTCTCAGGAAATTCGGGATCAACTTACGCCTGGACCCAGCAATACCACTCCTGGGAATATACCCAAGAGATGCCCTATCACATGACAAGAGCATTTGTTCAACTATGTTCATAGCAGTATTATTTGTAATAGCCAGAACCTGGAAACAACCTAGATGCCCTTCAATGGAAGAATGGATGAAGAAAGTGTGGAATGTCTACACATTAGAGTACTATGCTGCGTTAAAAAACAATGACTTCTCAAATTTTGCATGCAAACGGATGGAAATAGAAAACACTATCCTGAGTGAGGTATCCCAGACCCAAAAAGATGAACATGGGATGTACTCACTCATAATTGGTTTCTAGCCATAAACAAGGGTCACGGAGTCTACACTTGGTGATCCCAAAGAAGCTAAGTAAGAAGGTGAACCAAAAGAAAAGCATATAGTTGTCCTCTTGGCTATGGGAAGCAGACAAAATTGCCGGGGAGAAAATTGAGATCTTGGGGGTGGGGTGGGATGGGGGTAAGGGGAGATGGGGAGAGAGGGGGGAAAGGGGGAGAATGGGGGAAGCTTGAGGAAGGGGGAGGATTGGGATGAAGGAAGGTTGGATGGGGGAGCACGGAAGCACAGTTCTTAGTTAAGGGAGCCACCCTAGGGTTGGCAAGAGACTTGAACCTAGAGTGGCTCCCAGATGCCCAAGCCGAGGTCCCCAGTTAGTTCCTTGGGCAGCTGAGGATGGGGAACCTGAAATGACCCTATCCTAGAGCAATACTGACGAATATCTTGCATATCATCATAGAACCTTCATCTGGTGATGGATGGAGACAGAAACAGAGACCCACACTGGAGTACTGGACTGAGCTCCCAAGGTCCCGATGAGGAGCAGAAGGAGGGAGAACATGAGCAAAGAAGTCGGGACCACGAGGGGAGCACCCACCCACTGAGACAGTGGAGCTGATCTATTGGGAGCTCACCAAGGCCAGCTGAACTGTGACTGAAAAAGCATGGGATAAAACTGGACTCTCTGAGCATGGCGAACAATGAGGGCTGATGAGAACCCAAGGACAATGGCACGGGGTTTTGAACCTACGTAATGTGCTGGCTTTGTGGGAGCCTAGCCAGTTTGGATGTTCACCTTCCTAGAAATGCACGGAGCGGGGAGGACCTAGGACTTACCACAGGGCAGGGAAATCTGACTGCTCTTTGGGCTGGAGAGGGAGGGGGAGAGGAGTGGGGGGAGGGGGAGAAGGGTGGGAGGAGGAGGAGGGAAATGGGAGGCTGGGAGGAGGAGGAAATTTGTTTTTTTTTTTCTTTTTTTTTCTTTTCTCAATAAAAAAAGTTAAAAAAAAAACAAAAAAAACAAAAAACAAAAAAAATAAAATAAATATCAGGTTCAATTTGCAAAAAAAAAAAAAGAAACAGAATGAGGTATATTACTCTTGACCTTGTAGAAATGTAAAGAATTATTTAGGAATCTGTGAGTAACAATATGCCAAAAAAATCATAAAATTTAAACAAAAATATTCCCAGTGAGTACTGATACTTTTATTGTTTGTATAACCCATATTTTAGACATTATAGGTTCAAAACTTTAGTGATTTCTTCAACAGATTTTGTTTCAAGAAGGAATTTTATGACATCATTGTAACTTAAGCCCCAAAATGTGCATTTGGTATGTATTTGATATGTATACGTACATATGATCTCTAGCATGATTTCTTCATAGCTGTTGCATAGTTTTGGAAGTGGTTTTACAGAGTTGGTCATAAACAAGATTTTACCTTTTGTTTTATGTAAGAGGTAGCATAAAATATACTAAATTTTCTGACAGTTCAACTGTGGGACCATTTTTATTAATGCTTTTATTAATTTACATAAACCTTAGAACACACTTCCTCCTATCTTCTAATAATGTGCAAAGACAATACAGACCCCCATTCTGTTTTGATTAAATGCTTCTAGTTAAGCTGTAGACAGCTCACCCATGTAAAACTCTTCTTTTCCTTGTATTTGCTTTTTAATTGTTTAACCCTGATTTATGACAATAATGTGCCCCTTAGTAGGACAGTTAAAGACACAGGAACTTGAAACACATATTTCTTAGTTCCTTTCCATTCTTCTCTTTTGGATCCCACACAGATGTTCATACCCAGCAAACTTGCTCGTGTTTACATGGCACACAACTTCACATGTGTCTTATTTCTGTTACTGCAACTTCATATTTAACATACTATGGATATATTTTAAATTATCTAAATATCTGTTTATACACACTTGCATACACACATATACACAGACATATAGATTTTGTAACAAGTAATATCTTTCTAATAATTAGCTTTATATATGCTAATATAAATAAAGGAATGGAAAAAAAAACATCTGAAATACCCATAATCTGCCTGCCTTTATGATGAAATACTGGTTGTAATGTTATGCTATTGATTTGTGTCTTGGTTTCAGCACATAGCAAGCACAGATCAGGTTGCGAACAGAGGTCTGTGTTGATACTCCAGCTTCCTCTTGTGTTCCAGGATGCTTCTCCTCTGTGGTCCTCTTCCAATCTCAGGTCAGTGCAGGGGTGCCTCAGAATTGATTCGAATCTCTAATGCTATTTCCTGAAAGACATAGGCCTGCTCCCATTGATTTAGTTCTTTATCTGAGGAATAAGGCCTAATTCTTATAAGCTAATTAGTTCCATTTTGTCTGGGGAGGGAGCAAAGTCTGGGATACTATTAAGTCAATTACCTTTGATTTATCCTTTCGAACTACAGTTAATCCTATGTTTAAGTCATACCTCCTATCTGCCTGTCTTCTTTTTGACTCCAAACTGCCTGAGCCCCACCCTGATGTGAATACTAAGAAGACTTTTTGTAGGTGTTCCACTGTCTATTTCTTTTGCTGCATGCTTCCAATTGGGTTGATGCTCTAAACATCTTTTAAAACTATCTGGCTTTAAGATAACGTTTTATAAATTTGAAAATGAAAATGTTAGATAAATATTTCTTATGCAATTAAGGCTCTCTAATACACACACACATGCAAGGGCACACACACACACACACACGCACATACACACACATCTATCTTCTATTCCAGTTTTGAGGACTGCCTGCCCTTGCTTTGCTGCAGATGTAAATCCTCTTACTGATTCCTTCATGAATATCTTGCTTGCCCCGTGGTTTAGATTCATGGGAGCTCCAGAGAAGGTCCAGAAAGCTAGGTGCAAAGATGAAGCCCTTCTGTAGCAAAGAGAAGGAACAGTATCATTCTAGATGCCATAAGTCTACTGCTGCTTAACTTCCTCCAATGTTCATTTACATAGCACATGGTAATGAAAGTCTCTCACAGAAACAGGTTAAATATTCATCAAGCCAGTAATACAAAAATTTTCTCTGTAACCGATATAAATCATTTCCAAATGACTTTTAGAATTTCTCAAAGAATTGTTTGAATTTCAATGATTTTATTTGTTAATTTTGTTTTCTGTTACTCTGACAAACAAGACCCAAAGGTATTTGGGTAGAAAAGAGTTCATTTGGCTCATAGGTTTATTAAGGGAAGTCAAGGCTAAAGCTGAAGCAGGAACCTGGATGCAGGTGCTGAAGTAGAGACGATGGAGAAACGCTGATTACTGATTTACTTTCAATGGCCTAAGCGGCTTGCTGTCTTCTACAACCAAGGAGTTCTCACTCCCAAATCAAATGTTTATTAAGAAAAGGCCCAAAGGCAAGCCTGCTGGCCAAACTTATGGAGACATTTCCCCAGTTGAAGGTATATTCCCAGGTGACTCTTATTTGTGTAGAATATCAAATACTAACCTATATATAACCTATATTCTTAACTTTATTTTTGAAGTGAACATAAACAGTTCAAATTGTCTTGAGGGATATGAGTATCTTTCTATGCAGAGATTTAAGGATGTTAATAATTCTTTTTCTGGAATGACTCATAGATTGGGTACATCAATTATCTGAAGAGTTTTATTTCCAGGATTTTGTTTTCTATAGTCATTTTTTTACTTCCTTTTCTAGTTATACTTTCATATTACTTTATATATTTTTGCCAGCAGCTGTGTGGATATGCATGTTGAATTCAAAGTCAGATAAATTAGCAATATTTTTGGTTCTTATTTGTTTGATTGTGTGTGTGTGTGTGTGTGCGTGCCCGCCCATACGAGTTCAAGTCAGACCCCATCCCTGCAAGGATAGTGGAGGTTAATATGAAATAATTCCCCTGCCCAAGAAGATATTGACAATTGATGGATGCAAGGAGAGGAAGTATCAGTATTCTTTAACAATGTTACCCTTGAAAATAAACCATGCTCTATTAGAAGAAACCACATTCAAGAATATATGGGAAGAACAAATTGGGCACGATAGAAGAGAGAGGGGGGGGGGGAGGGGAGGGGAGGAGAGAGAGAGATATTAAGTACACCCAGAATAGGTTGAGAAGACAATGTAAACATCTAATTTGGTACTGTGGAGGTCTGAATGGGGTATCCCCAATATTCTCCAATAGCAAAATGCCTGGTTGCTAGTTGGTAACACTATTTGCATAGATTTGAGAAGCCTGGCCTTGCTGAAAATAGACTTTGGGATTTCAAAGGCCATGTTACTTGAGGGAGGGGATTCAAAAGCCATTCTCCATTTCCAGTGCACTCTCAGCTTCCTGACTGTGGGTAAAGATGTGAGCTGTTACTGCCACCATGTCTACTGCTTGGCTGCTGAGCTTCCCTGTATGGCAAGTAATTACCTCTTTCCCCTCTGAAACTGGAAACTCCAAGTAAACTCTTTCCTTTTTTTTTTTTTTTTTTTTTTTTTTTTTGGTTTTTTGAGACAAGGTTTCTCTGTAGCTTTGGTGCCTGTCCTGGAACTAGCTCTTGTAGACCAGGCTGGTCTCGAACTCCCAGAGATCCGCCTGCCTCCGCCTCGCGAGTGCTGGGATTAAAGGTGTGCGCCACCACCGCCGGGCTCCTTCCTCTTTTTCTATAAATTGACTTGATCTCGGTGTTTTATCACAGCTAAATAAAGCAGACAGTGTCAATAAACACAGGTTTTCCTAGATATGTTCAGACAATAATTAACTGTAATACACATTGAGCACCATAAAAGCATTTTTGGTTATCAACTTGATTACAACTGGAATTAACTAAAACGGAAGTGACTCAGTGCACGACTTTTTTTTATAATTAAATCATTTGAAGTGGTAAAACCTTCTTTTAATCCCAATCTTCTGAAGTGGGAAGATACACCTTTAATCCAGATCTTTTATCTGGGAATATCTACCTTCAGTCTGGGCCAACCCCTCTCTTGGAAGCCTATATAAGGAAAATGGAAGAAGGAAGCATGCTCTCTTTGCCTGTTTGCTCTTGCTCACAAAACTCCTGATACTAATATAAATAAAAGTTATTTAATATTCTTAAACAGTCAAAGTAGTTCGAAAGTTTGAAATTCCAAAATTCACTGGCACTTCCCAAACTTCCTGTCAACTATATTTATCTTCAGGAAGATCCTAAGTCTGCATATGCTTCCTCAAGGAGTGGGAGGAGAGGGAAGGTGGAGAATCGCTAAGAGTAAATCTTTTGGGAGAAGTATCTCCTAAATTAGCAAATTTCATTGAATTTTCCAGAAAGATGAGTTTTTGCTTTTAGATTGCTCTTCTTTGTCACTTAAAATATAGCTGTGCTTCTGAGTTCTCTCACTTCCTTTCTTAACACAAATGCATTTTAAAGAAACCTCTCCTTATATAAACTTTTGAAATGGTAAAATATGGTCCAGATAGTTACATACATTAATTTCTCTTTTCTGACATCTGGTCCTAATCATTTTTTTTTTGGAAGTTGAA